TATTATTTAAGTGATCTGGAGGAAACTTCTGGACAATTTCGAATCTCCGAAATTATTTTTCTACGTTTAGCTATGACCGTTTATCCAAGAAGTTTATTTGAAGGATCTTTTTGCTGAGCAGATCTCATGACTTCCTTCACTTTCATGAGAAGTTCGCAGTTAATTCACAGATGGTGTGCAGGCACATGAAAAGTGAGAGTTCTTTACAACGATCGCTATCCATTTGCATTTTCACTGTCTCAGCGAACGGGCCTTCATTTTCCGAGAGCACTCCAAGGCAATTTGCATGTCAAGTTAACGGGTCTGTCATTTCTACAGAGCCTTTTTAATAAAAGTGACTCGTTTTGATGACTTTACTGGTAGGCAAGCAGAAAATGATTGCAGACAGCAGAAATATTCTGCAATTTTAGGTAAGTAGGCCCTCCACAACTAGTCCGGTAAGGACGGCAGTTGGTCGATTCTGTAGGGATTATTGACTGACCTGTTCCTGAATCACCTGTTTAGAAATTCCTCTTGACGGCTCTTTTTATTGGCTCTTCTTCAGATAACTATGAATTTAGAATTTCGCCCAAAAATAGCTACAGTATTTCAAGAGATTACTGTACCTAACTACTCTGCAGTTCTCTTTTTCCTCAGTCAGTCCTACCAAGGACTTCTACGTAAGGAGAGAGAGCTTCGAGTTTCTCGCGTGGAGCCTTGCTTACTCTGGCAATGGTAAACCGTTGATTGTTACCTTCCAAACTTACAATGCAGTACTATGATTAGAGTAGATCCGCTTTGTAGCAAAGCAGATCACCTGAATTCTGAAAGAAAAATAATTATTTTAATAATTTTTGTACGCTAACTGTAGCCGATTTCGACGCTCTTCACCTTTGACCATAATGGAAACAGACTTCTTTTAGAAGTTTTCGGATTACTGGTAACAAGGAGGCCTTCTGACCTCTATTATACTCGATTCTTCCCCAGACCCTTTACTGAGGTACAACTTTTATGGCTCCTTATGAAAGTAGCCGTTCTAATTTGTCATGCCCGCATTTATTTCAAGCAGAACTCGTCCTCCATGGGTGTTGCTGTCAATTCTGAGCGGCACAGTTTATTCGATGACTATATTTTCGATTTCGCTGCCTATGCGGAGGCCTTGAAAGTGACAACCTTTCGGAGGCTTAGTCGCTCCGTTCCGCTCTGTTGATTGCAACCAGTTCAGTCCAATACCTATTCATTGGGCGTCTCTGAAATGGAAGCGTTTCAAAGAATTCCGTTTATTGTGCCAGAAATACAAAGCGTGAAACTTCTAATCCGTTATCGACGAAGATTTACAAAAGGAGGGGCGAGCTTTCAGAAAAATGGCCATCCGTCTTTTCGTCATACCTTTAATAAATTCATTGTTCAGAATCTTTGTTAGCATACTATTCGTTAAATCTTTAAAAATAAAGTCGAAAAACTGTAATTTGTAAATGATCTTACCGACATTTGCTAAGCAATCAGCGTTCAGTATTTCCGACCTGGATACGTTCTAACCATTTTGTACTTTCAAGGGGAGAACCTTCATGATGAGCTTAATTAGTTTCCGTGAAGTTCCTGTACTTCCTCTAATTCACCTTGACCTCCATTCTTCAGTTGAGCTCACCCATTCAAACTTTGGAAGCGTATCGGAACAGAAACGATGAACTGCCCTCAAGGTGAAAACCACAACCCACCGTAATTACATCAAGGTGGCAACATTGGCGTGTACGGAAAGAACTGGTTGATTTTGTTTGCAGTAAATTACTGCAATCTTATTGACTTCATGTCACATGGCTAAAGGGCAAGGCTGTCCCGTCATGTCCTTCAAATTCCTCATTCCACGTGCTCTACCTAGGATAGGTAGGTAGACGGGAAAGGTCGAAAGGCAAAACATGTATACATTTTATGAATAAATGAGTTTTTGGTAGTTTTTCGTTTTTTTTTCGAGCCGGATGCGTTCTGATTCGTGTTTTTTTCCACAAAGCTACCTCCTAATCAATCGCTCCTCATGTCGAAAAGAGAGGTCCTTTGAGGAGCTTTTGAAAACCTTGACCCAGCAGGGAGTCCCTGATTGCTTCGAATCAGGACTGCTGAGAATTGATCCCTCTCGATTGGGTATTTGTGAAGCATCGATTCTTTCCGATTATCGATGGCAAGGTGTACAAAAATGTTGTCACTAAAATGGTCCGGTCCCGCTTGTCAAAAGGAACGAAGCCTGGCCAGAATAAAGGAAATTAGCCTGGAACATGTCATTGAGAAGACGATCTTCCCACCTCTAGTGCCAATCAGCCGTTCCTTTGTGTGGGTGTGAGAGAGTCCTTGAATGGTTCTTCTGGTGTGTGCCACATACTCAACACCCATTCTCAATCAAGCCGTGACTCCCTGTTCAATCATATCTTGGCAATCCCGTAGTCGGGAAACTTCTGTTCGACTTCCATTCAGAACCGTGATGGCGTTTTGAACGCGTAGGTGGCCAGCCGATGCACAAGTCGTTGCTTTTATTCTCTCAGACAAGTCCGGTACCGACTGACCAACCTCAGAAAGATGCAGCGCTTGATTTGCCTGGACAGATATAGAACCGGACTCAGACCTCAGACCGTTACTAATCTTCCTTTGACGATTCTTCATGATTTGGGAAGATGCCGACGGAAATACTAGCTGCTGCCGACTAATTCATTTTCCTTTTTGTTTTCATTGTCCGCGACGATGTTGAACTGAATGCGTTGCGCTAGTCTTAAAACACAGCCTTTTTCGTACAATTGACAGCCTCTTGTTTACTTTTTTCACTTCTCGTCAATTCGTCTTTACTGACGCCACAATGGGCGGAAGGCCATAAGACGACCTTCGTAGAGGACGATGAATGTTTAAATGGGCGACAAGGCAACATCAAAACGGCCTCTCAACCATATTCGACTTAAACAAACAAACAAGAACACAATATGTTCACCATATTTATGACAGAACAAAAATTTCCTATACGTTCCTGCTTAAAATCAAATCAAATTATTTGGAGATAATTTGGGTTCGCAGCGCCACTAATTGATCGGAACTGATGGTTTGACAATTCGGTTTCGTCAATTATCGAACGATCGATGGTGTCGATCACAGTTTGCCGACCTTGGAGTGTCTTTCAGTAGCAAGTTATTGCTTACAATTCGGCGATTCCTTTTCGAACCCTCCCCTTTATCCATAAGGTACCCCTATTGTTAAGAAAGGAACCCCTTTTGTTGATCTTTGTTTGAATTGTAGTTAAGGTCACACTGCTGTGGTGGTACAAACTCGTTCTGTCCGATTGAGCGCATTACTCTTCACGTTGTGTTGTACGATGTCGGGTGATAGTCTTTTTTTGGCGAATGGCCAACAATTACCCTGATTGGTAACCACACCCAAACGGCAAGTTTCTATTTTTCTCCGCTCTCAAGTGATCCAGTACCAATGGCGATTCTTTCAATCGGAGGAATCGTTTCTTTGTATACTTCTAAGAGGGATGATCCTCCGCGCTTCGACCAGATTTAGCGGCTGCAGCCGAATTAGGCACTCTGAGGAGTTGCGGAGATCCTGGCCCACCGTATTCTAACTGGTTGGGAGAACTTTGTTCAGCTTATCCACTACTAACGGAGGCACCGTAAGAAAGCTCTAACTTCGGCTTTTCTATAACTTTCTTCAGAAACGTGATGAATGCTCTGTTTGATTTTTACTTCTTTTTCCAAATCCTCTGCCTTAGCCATGCCAGATGGAAGAGTTTTCAGAAATAACCACAACACTACGAAAACGCTGCAAGAATCCGATCTTTGGAAGCAAATTTAGATAGGATTCCNTCATTCTGACCACTAAAAAACAAAAACGTCACAATTTGACAGCTAATAATTCTTCGCTCCAAAATGTTTGCTGGGAAATCGCCGCTTTTCGGTTTCTTTTCTCGCCTTTAAAGTGGGTGTTGGCATTGTACGGCAGATTGGTTCTGGATGGAAAACGAGTTTTATTTCTTACGACCCTGGACCCATCGTAGCACCGCAAAAAAGATAAAACTACAAGATTTTTTGCCCTACAAACTCCTAAACCGAGTTTGTGAGCAGTCTGCTCTTTTCATGCCTACTTTTTTTATTTGATTTTCTAAATTTTTGGGTGTTTGCCGCATAGATACAAAATAAGTTGAATTCCGCGGCGACTGATGCGATCCCTGTAACTTCAGCCATTCAGTAGGCCCTTCATTTTGATGTATATTCATCTAGAATGTACGTTTCCTCATATCCTTAGTAAAGAAGGTAAAATGCAAAATTCGTTCATATAGGAAAAATCCAATTTTGATAAGCTCCTTTACTGAATTTTTTCTTTTTCTTTTTCTTTCTGTTGGTCTTCCTCTTCCTCTTTCTCTTTCTCCTTCTCTTTCTCTTTCTCTTTCTCTTTCTCTTTCTCTTTCTCTTCCTCTCCCTCTTTCTCTTTCTCTTTCTCTTTTTCACGTTTCTCTTCCTCTTAGGTTTCTCTTCTTCTTACGAATGGACCAACGAATTTATTTCATTTCTTTATATTTATTTGGCGTCTCTATTCTATTGATGTAATCGTCCCTTTTCCCATACAGGACGGCCCTCAATTTTTGCGAAATCGACCGTATGCGATATATTTAATCCTCCAAAATCCATCGCTTTGCCATACTTCCGCTGAAATGCTCTAATTGGGTTGAAAAAGGGGTCAATGGTTAGCTGTGAACGTGAACAATCTGGCTATCCATAAAATAATTACTCATCATGAATTACTTGATTTTATTTTCATAAAGATCGAGGGACTAGCGCTGTAGTGTCCGAGGTATTGCCTTCAGACGAGGAGGTATCATGAGCTTTCAACAGCGGATAGGAATCACCATGTTCGAAGAGGTCTCAATCATCTAGTTATTCCAGTCTTCTTTTTTTTCTAATCGCCCACAAACCTTCCTCCCCTCCTCCCTTTGACACCTCTTTCTCTTTCCCTTCGTTTATAAAGCTCTATTGCATCACAGAGAAATGCTTGACGTTCTTCATAGGGAACCAGCCACAAATGAGGGCCGAACTACTTCGCGACTGGTTTGTTCCTGAATGGGATGGGCCTACAGCCTTTCCGGTTCCCATACTGCAAAATGTCTTACGATTAGTAAACTTTCAGTTTCTGGGGAACCAGTCGTTAAGGAACCGAGTGAAACTTTTTGATTGTTCATGGAAATACTCAAAGGAAATCGCTCTACTTAGAACGATAGAAACAAGTTCTGTTTCTGTTAAAAAAAGTGTCCAGGGCATGATTCCGAGCCACAGTTTTGCTATTCGGCACCACTGAAGAGTGATATTTTCATCAATAAATCCTGAAAGTATCCCCTTTCCAAGTCCGCACCGCCAATTTCGAGGCTTTCATATCCAACGACACCCCAATTTTCGGCAATTCTGTCGACTGAGCGTAAGACTCAAGTAGTAGTTTCACAAGATTGACGATTTGTTGGCAAAATTCGGCCCCAGACGGAAAACTATCTCATACTTGAGCTTTCCGGGCATCGT